CTGTGGTGATTGGCTCCACCCACAGAAGTAAAAGAAGTCAGGAAAAAAAATAAGTATCATTAGACTCTGATGCCTAAAAGATGCTCTTTTGGCCATCAAAGCTTTACTAGCATAACAATATACTTACTTCTTGATTCAGAGTTAATATTTTTAAATTCATAATACTATAAAATAATATTTATTGATTTAATTTTTAAGTCAACCTGTAGACAAAGTACAAAAGTTCTATAAGAATAAATTACAAATTTTATAACTCTTAACAATGGAAATGAGAAGTGGATATAAGTGGATATGACAGCTATTTTACATCTTATTTTTCATAGCAAGTAAGCAATGGACTTTGCCTAAGGTAAACAGGTATTTTTTGAATAATAAATTTAAATAAAAATATTAATATAACAATATACTATATAATATTCCATATATTATACTATTGTGCATTAAATACTATATATTATATATAATATATAATTACATCTATTATGTATACATACATAAAATACTTAGTATAGTATAGTTTACTAATATTATAAATACTAGTAAAATAATAAAATATAAAAATATATGACAAATAGAGAGATTGGGTTAAATATGTCAAAGATAATATTACCAATGCTGTCTAAAGTGTATTAATCAAAGTAGTAGTAAGAGTGTTTGTATTGTAAATAAATAAACTTAACTACCAGAGAATTTAAATAGAAATTATAAATTCTTAAATGGGACTACATGAAAGAAATAAAGAAGAGAGTTTTACCATCAATTTTTGCTTTTTATATCTATACATAAGATAGTTTACATATATATGCATGCATAAATAAGTTCTGTAATAAAAATAATTAAAAGAGTATCAGAAATAAAAGTATGTATTGCAAATCCCATTTTTGCAAAAACATACAGGGGGAGCCACAGTAACAGATTAAAAACTCGAAGAAGAAGATACATATCTATCAAAATGTTAACAGTGATCATCGCTTCATCCCTCGGAAGATTCCAGAACATATGAGTTTCCTAATAGGCTTCTATATGTTCTTTAAGAAATGGACATGAATAACATAAATGACTTAGTAATTTAAAGATGCATATATAGTACTTAAACTTATTTTAAAAAGAATGAATAGGTGGGGTAAAGGCTGAATGAATTCCTTCACCTTTCAGTGATGCCTCTAATTGTATCAATAATTAATTTATATATAAAATATGCATAAGAACTATAAATATTTAAAATAGACATAAAAGTTTCTTTTAAATACTATATTCAGAGATTTGAAGCATTTTAAAGGATTTTTATCATACTTTTTGGTTGATTGTTTTCATTTTGAAGCTATTTCATCTGTAAGACTATTTCTTCAATTTTATATCTATAAGCAAAACTCTATTTGGGTTATAGAAATACCTTTACAGATTTTTCATAATGCACTATTCTATATATTAAGGAATGCATGTGTATTTGTGATATTTTTATTCCACTTTAACCTCAATTGCAATAAGACACTTGTGCTTCATAAAACTCTTCCTTCTACATACTTCAAAATTTTAACAGTAATGGAAAATAAATGCAGTCTCTAAGTGTAAATATAAATGTAAACTGTATAAACTATATGCTGTATTGTTGGATAATTTTTAAATGTACACTTTTTTCAAATAATAAAATTAAGAAATTACATACCAAAGCAATTCCTGCAGAATAATGGGTAACACACATTTTTCCAGGAAACGTTGCTCCCATATAATCTGGATAATCTCGATAGCTAAATAAATGAGTATACAATTATAATTAATTCTGACAAACAATTCACAAGTGATAATTCCTGCTAATAATTTGTCTGTCTGCAGTTCACAAAATTCTAGTCTGAGGCAAACTTAAGTACAGTCTTTCCATATGTTCTTAATTGTTTCAAATTTGTAAAATAGTCTTAATTAAATTAAATCTGCCTTCCTACTTCTAATTCAGTTAGTACTCTTTAATTTGGCCTTTTTGTTATACCGCATTTTGAGTCTCTCTTTCACTCTTGCTCTCTCACTCTCATTGTTTTTTCCTCCTATAAACTATAAATAAGTGGAGATAATGTGCTGGCATTAGTCTTGTGCAGTGACATCAGCAAGATGGCAGAATAGGAGTTTTTTAGCCCTCATCTCCCCACAGAAACAATTCTGACAACCACCCACAGATGAGAGTATCTTTGTGGCCCAAGAGTCCAAGGAAAGGTCTCAGATCACACTGAAGCCCCCCCAAAAAAAAATCCAAAAAAGTCACGTTAAAGAAGGTAAGAACAGTTGCCCTTTACTCATGTGCTACCCTCAAGGTAGCGCAGCTCAGTGCTGAGAGAGAGGCCTTCAGTCATGATTCCTCCCAAGGCACGTAGGGCGAAGGTGAGAGCATAGTGAGCGCCCCTAGCCACGTGAGACGATGCCCAAGAGGCCGATTTTTGAAATGTCCACTGACAGATGAATGGACAAAGAAGATGTGATGTACATATGCAGTGGAACATCACTCAGCCTCAAGAAAGAAGGAAATTCTGCCATTTGCAACATGGATAAACCTGGATGATCTTATGCTAAGTAAAATAAGCCAGAGCTAAAAAGGCAAGTACTGTATGGTCTCACGTGTGCAACCTAAACTAGTCCATCCAACTCATAAAAGCAAAGAGTTGAATGGTGGTTGCCAGACATACAGACAGCCAGGGGACACATGAAAAGATGCTCAACATCACTAATCACCAGGGAAATGCAAATCAAAGCCAGTTTTTTTTAACAGGTTTTTATTTCACTTGGGTAAATACCTCAGAGTAGGACTGCCAGGTTATAAGGTAAGTTTAACTTCATAGGAAACGGGCAACCATTTTTGCATTCCCACCAGCAATACAGAAGAGTTGTTCTGCATACTCTCCAGCAGGTGGCATTGTCAGGGTTTTGTTTTATTTTGTTCTGCTCTGTTTTGATTTAGCCACTATAATGAATGTTCAATGGTTTTTCAAAATTGATAAACCTAGCCAGACTCCTCAAGAAAAAAAAGAGCCCAAATCAATAAAATCAGAAAAGAAAAAGGAGAAGTTACAATTGACACAACAGAAATACAAAGGATTGTAAGAGACCACTATGAAAACTATATCCCAAGAAAATAAACAACCTAGAAGAAATGGACAAACTCTTAGAAATGTATATTCTCCCAAGATCAAATCAGGAAGAAACAGAGAACATGAACTGACCAACTACCAGTACTGAAATTGAATCAGTAACAAGAGAACTCCCAACAAACAAATGTCCAGGACCAAGATCAGACAACTGGACAGCCACATGAGAAAGATTAAAAGTGGACCAATTTTTCACACCATATTCAAAAAAGCCTCAAAATGGATTCAGGAATTAAACGTTTAAGACCTGAAATCTTAAAACTTCTCAAATAAGACATAAGAAGCTTGCTCTTTGATATTGGTCTTAGCAATATTTTTTATATCTGTCTCCTCAGGCAAGGGAAACAAAAGCAAAAATAAACAAATGGGACTATATCAAACTAAAATGCTTTGCACAGTGAAGGAAAATGTCAATAAGATCAAAAAACAACCTATTTTGAACAAGAGAAGATATGTGCAAATGATACATCTTATAAGGGATTAATACCCAAAATATACAAAGAACGCATACAACTCAACACTAAAAAAACAAATAACCTCATTAAAATTGGGCAGAAGACCTGAAAAGACATTTTTCCAAAGAAGACATAGATAGCCAAGGGACACATGAAAAGATGCTCAATATCACTAGTCATTAGGGAAATGCAAATCAAAACCACGAGCTATCACCTCACACCTGTAAGAATGGCTATCACCAAAAAGTCTACAAATAACAAATCAATATATAGATTTAATTTAATCTCTCTAAACATTTCAAGATTTTTTTTTTGTGGGACTTGACAAATGTTTGCCAAAACTGGTAAATTTATGGCAAAACTGCCTATTCATCCGGCAGAAAATAAAATTTTATTTCTCTTTTGTACTATATAAAAATTAAACTAAGATGTATTAAAATTTTATTTATAAAAAGTAATAATATTTATTCTTTTTTAAAAAGCTATAGACTAATATTTAGGGCTGGGAGAGACCTTTATCAAACAGGAAATTCAGAAGTAAAAAAAGAAAAGATTAACAAATTTGGCCCTATAAACACAAAAGATTTCATGTGGCAAAAAAAGATTTTTAATATCTATAGAAAAATTGTAGACCTAGAAAATGTATCTTTTGATATACATAAATAAAGGACTAATATCTAAACACTCAATAAGCCCTTATAAATTACAAAGAAGTGGTCAAATACCATGAAAAAGGAATTTCAGAAGGACAGATCCAAATGATCAACAAACATGAAAAGATGCTCAAATATATGAGTTTTTAGAAGAAACAAATTAAAAAATATTAACATCAATTTATACCCATCAGAGTGGCAAAAATGAAAACAGAAGCAACACTTGTTGGTAGAGGTGTGGGGAAAAGATTAATTTTACACACATGAAAAAGGAAATATTATCATGCCAACTTAAAATATGTATATACAGATTTATTGAAAGCCATTTGCTGATTATAACTGCTAATAAATTTTATATGAATAAAATTATAAATATATACTTATGATTGATCATTAGAAAACCAACATTTAAAAATAATGCAGAAAATTCACTAGGATATAATATTTTAACCTACTTTACCAAGCCTTTGATCAAAACCTGTAACAAAAATACAAGCTTCAAAAGATAAATCCCATCTTTTTATGTACTGATCAAGATTGTGGGCTCAAAACCTAAACACACCACTACAACCAGGAGTCCTGCGTTGGTTTAACCTCTTGAAATGTCAATCTCCTCATCAGTAAATGTTGATAAGCATAGAAATAAATTTTAGCAATCTTTTTTATTGCCTGACAACCAGAAAGAGAGAATGAGGCCTGAATGAGTGCATACTGAATAAGCAATGTGTGAAAAGTCAGAAATGAACTATTCCCTCCTTTCAGCTCCATCAGTATCACACATCTTTGATTTTGAGGAAGATTGAAACATTATTCTTACATGAATAGATACGCAATATCATGAGGTCTTAGGGTAAGATAGGACTTTTTCCATTCTAAAAATCTATGCAATAATTCATCTGCCTCACCAACTGTAGAGATCTTATTTTTATCTGACCACAACTCCAAAGATGACAGCACAATAGTAATTTTAAATTGGACAAACATCTAAAAACAGAAGAGATAAAGACACAAAAAATTAATTTTTATGTTATTTTATAACAACCAAGAAATTAATTCAATGTTTTGACAAATCCACACTCAATTTATATGGATAACTTAATTATTCAGAAATGACATGTCAAGTTAATGCAAATTATAATTTCAAAACTGAATTTTCCTAAATTTTCCTAACTAGTATGAAAGGAAAATACTTACCGAATTTACAAGGCCAATAATTTCGATGACTTTATTTGTTACTATCATGCTATCAGAGCCCAGGAAATCATACTGAAAAACAGAATTAATTTAAAATTTAAATATAATTTGTCACCTAATATGTTTGAGATTTACTCTCCATCTACTCTCTGAGGTTGAGGCTGCTTTGGGGTTCTTTAGAACACTTCAAAATAAGACAACAACAAATAAAAAATGAATATAAATTAGATCACTCATACATGCTGGTGGGCATGTAAAACCATATGGCCACTCTGGAAAATACTTGGGCAGCTTCTTTCAAATCAAATAATGGACATACTATATGACCTAGCAATTGCACCTCTGGACATTTATCCCAAAGAAATAAAAAATGATGCTCACAAAGACTCATACATGACTGGAAACATATGTCCTTCAATGGTTAACAGGTTAAACAAACTGTGGTACACTCATGCCATGGAATGCCATTCAGTAATAAAAAGTAACTGAACTGTTGATACATGGAACAGCTTGGATAAACCTCACAAAAACTATACTCAGTATAAAAATATCTCAAATATACATACTACATGATAACATTTACACAATATTCCTGAAATCATAGAGATGGAGAATTGATCAGTGATTGCCAGAGGTTAAGAAGTGTACAGAAGAGGGGAGGAATGGGTGTGATGTTGACGGATAACAAAGAGTGTTGTGGTGCTGGTACTGTTGAGTGCCTTGATCACTGGTGGCTGTGAAAGACTACTATCACACGAAACCACAGACAGACAGACACACACACACACACACACACACACACAGATGAGTGTATATATAACCTGAAATCTGAATAAGCTCTGAGGGATGTGCCAATGTCAAATTCCATATCTATAAAATAAATCTCTAAAGTACACTATCCCTTGGATATTCCACAGGACCATCAAATTAAACACATTCAAAACTACACTCATTATCCTCCCTCAAAAATATGCTCCCACTGAGACCTCCACTACTTTAGTGAATGGTATTATCATCTATGACCTCCCACATTTTTTATACTACATGTTCCATGATAGCAAAACTTTTTCTGTTTGGGCACTGCTCTATCCCCAGTAAACAGAACAATAAATTTATTAAGCACCTGGATGGCAGGTGATGCTTAATAAATTTATTAAATGAATGAATCAATCAAATCAATTCACAAGTTCTTCTAATTAAGCCTCATTAGTAACTTTCAAAATTGCCATTTTCTGTCTATTCCTAACACTATTAATTTATAAAATTCCACCTTGATTACTGGAATAGTCTCTTAAATGCTTTCTCTTTCTCCAATTTCCCACAAGCATTCCAGTTCATACACTAATACAAAAATGATTCTAAGATGAAAACATGAACATGTCTCTACCCTGCTTAAACTCTTTCATTGACTCTCTATGACGTTTAGGATAAAATCCAAATATTATCTCAATGCTTCAATTCATTCCTTTTCCTTTCCTTCTTCAACCCTGTGTATTAATCATACTAAACTTGGAGTTATCTGAAAAGAAGAGTCTCTTGTATTTTCATGTGTCCTTGCAAAGAAATCTCTCATGCTAACTCTCACCTGGCCCCACCCTCTCCCCACTGCCCAAACTAACCAAACCAGAACACAATCCCCAACCATCTCCTATCAGGTTCTCACACTCCAATTCCCCTGCCTTAATCATCCAAGGGCAAGGTACCAAACAACTTGAAACAACCTCTATTCCCCAAAACCCACTACAATTTTGCAAACTAGCCAATCCTAAACCTGTTCACCTGGCCTTGCTGTTCCCTTCCCATGGAAACCACAATAAAGGCCCCCGCCATGTTTTCGCATCTCTCCCTCTGTCTCCTGCCCTACTCGGGTGCTTCCCCACAGGGCATGACGTGTATGCCCTTTCCCCTGGGAACTGGGAATAACAAGCTATCTTTCCTATAGCAGTCATCTCCTGATCTGTGGTCAGCATACCTAAATAATAACAAAACCTACATTTTAAAACACCTACGTACGTGCTCTTAGAGTACGCCAAGTTACAGCTGTGTATCTCCATGTCCTTCTCCACTAAAGCACTGAGTTTTTATAGTACCATAAGCTTCCCTCAATCTGGCACTGAATTCACTAGGCTAAAACTGTGGAGTTAAAATTTGTGAAGTGATTGAAGACAGTATCATTACATTTTTTTACATGCCCAACACCTAGTAACACAGATGTCATAGCTGGCTCAATGTCTGATTTATTAAAGAACATGTAAATATGTATAAGAACATAAAAAAGAGATGTGTAATCAGCATTATACGGCTGGCAAATCTGGCAGTTAGGACAAGAAGCTTTTAAAACAACTCTCAAAATTTGCAACATAATCCCGAAACAAAATAATTTTCATAATCCAAAATATTCCCTGGAAATTTAGTCATCTTTACTACAAATATCTCAACTTCTATTAAATCTTCCCTCTGCCCCTTTTCCCTAACACTCTAATAAATCAAGTGTTTTAATAGCCGCCTCCAAATCTCTCCTGTCTCTGACCCCCAGCTCTGGCTTCCTGACAAGTTCTGCAATCCTAGCAGAACTGGTAACAAAGGATGAGTCATATCCTCTGTGGTATTCCACAGATGTGACAATCAAATGCTTATCTTCAGAACAAAACCCGGACAGTACATTTTTATCCCTGTTTTCTCAAATCTCTGAAATATAGAAGAAATAAAACCAAACCTGATTGAGTATAAAATAAGTTATCACCTCAAGGGTCTAAAGTTCAGAGGTCCTCAAACTGTTTGTGGGAATCAGGGATCTAGAGGTGCATTTAGATGAGACTCAAACAGTTGCACCATTAAAAACCACTTTAAAAAAATCTTGACACTTTAATGTAAGCAGTTGTCACAAATAGTCAGGCTTTCATCATTTTAGTGCCAACAAATACTTTACAGGGCAAAACATTCTCTAGACTACATGCTGCTCTTCAAGTACCCTAAAACAAGAATTAAAAGCTTAAAGAATTTCACTTAAAAAAATCACCATTAGAAATGTTTATGGATTGAGAGAGGCCCTAAAGATATTAAGTGTCAGCCAAAAAAAAAAATCAATTCTATATGCAGGTTTGTTATGTAAAGAGTTCAAATAAAACATTTTGGATAGAACTCATGTAATTATGAATATTTGGTTTTTCAGATGGAAAATTTCTCCACTTTTCTACGACATGCAAGTAAGAAGACTGGAATCTTTAAGTTTCTTTCTAGCCAAGGATAAACATACATTCATATCAAATGTTTAAAACCAAAGAAAAAGCAAAACACATACCAAAACTTTGTCCACCACGATATGCATTTCTAAATAAAGAGGAATTAAATCTGAAACAGTTGATTCTGGCTAGAAAAAAGAATAACAGCATTTAAAAACTTAAACACTTTTACAAATTGTTTATTCTGAACTTTTAAAATATTTTTCCACCTTTATTGAGGCATAGTTGAAAAGTAAATGTATATACATTTAAGTTATAAGACTTGCTGTTTTGATATACGTATACAATGTGAAGTAACTGCTACAATCAAGCTAATTAACATATCCACTCTCATATAGCTACCATTTTTTTCTCTGTGTGTGTGTGTATGTGTGTGGTGAGAACACCTAAGACCAACGCTCTCAGAAAACTTCAAGTTTACAACACAATACTTTTAACAATAGTCACATTGGTATTTATTAAATCTCCAGAATTTATTCATCTTGCAAAGTTCAAACTTTATACTCTTTGACCAGCATTTCCCGATTTCTCTGTCTGCAGCCCCGGGCAAACACCACTGTACTCTCTGTATCTATGGGTCTGACTGTTTTAGATTCCACATAAAAGTGAGTAGTTGCAGTATTTGTCTTTCTGTGTCTGGCTTATTTCACTAGTATAATGTCCTCAAGGTTCATCCATATTGCCACAAATGTCAGGATTCTCTTCTTTTTTAAGGCTGAATATTATTCCACTCTGTATATACATATATATGTATATAACAATTTATGTATCCATTCATCCATCAGCAAATAGTTAGATTGCTTCCATATTTTGGCTCTTGTAAATAATGGTTCAATGAACACAGAAGTGCATATATATTTTCGAGTTACTATATTTGTTTTCTTCTAAGAATTTTATGATTTCAGGTCTTACATTCGAGTCTTTAATCCATTTTGAGTGAATTTTTGTGTATGGTGTAAAATAATGATCTGTTTATTATTTTGCATGTGCCTGTCCAGTTTTTCCAATATCATTTATTGAAAAGTCTACATTTTCCCACTGAATAGTCTTGGTTCCTTTGTCATACATTAATTGACCATATATGCGTGGGTTTATTTCTGGGTTCTCAATTCTGTTCCACTGATCTATGTGTCCCTTTTTATGCCAATATGATACTATTTTAAGTACTATAGCTTAGTAATATTGCTTGAAATCAGAGAGTCAGAAGCCTCCAGCTTTGTTTTCTTATTCAAGATTCTTTCATCTATTTGGTGTGTGTTTGTGGTTCCATACAAATTTAAGTATTATCTTATTTCCTTGAAAAATGCCAATGGAATTTGGATAGGGATTGCACTGAATATGTAGATTGCTCTGAGTAGTATGGAAATTTTAACAATCCTGACTCAATCTATGAGCATGGAATATACTCCCATTTATTTGGGTCTTCTTCAGTTTCTTTGATAAATGTCTTGCAGTTTTCAATACAGAAGAGGTCTTTCACTTCCTTGGTTAAATTCATTCCTAGTTATTTTTGATGCATTGTAATGGGATTGTTTCCTTTATTTCTCTTTCAGATCATTTCTTATTGGTGTATAGAAACACAACAGATTTCTGTGTATGAGTTTTGTATCCTGCAAATTTACTGAATTAGTTTAGTAGTTTCTAACACTTTTTTATGGAGTGATTAGTGTTCTATACATAATATCATGTCATCTGCAAATAGTGATAATTGATAATTTTACTTCTTCCCTTCCAATCTGAATGCATTTCATTTCTTTTTCTTGCCTCATTACTATGGCTATGACTTCCAATTCTAGGCTGAATAAAAGTGATGAGAGTGGGCATCTTTGACATATTCCTGACCTTAAAGTCATGCTTCATACGTTATTAATCTCCTTATATTTGTTAAGATTGTTTTGTGGCCTAACATGATCTCTCCTGGAAAATGTTCCATGTGCACTTCAGAAGAATGTGTATCCTGTTGCTTTTAAATGGAATATTCTGTACATATCTGTTAAGTGCATCTGTCCAATGTGTTATTTAAGCCAATGTTTCCTTATTGATACAAAAAACAGTAATTGTGAGGGGGAGAGAGAACAAATGCAGTTTTTTTAATGCATTTGAAATTAAGATTTCAGCAACTTAAAACAATAACGTATATGTAGACTGCTATACAGAAACCTCATGATGACCACAAACCAAAAATCTATAATAGATATACACACACAAAAAAGAAAAAGGAATCCAAACATAACACATAAAGATAGTCATCAAATCACAAGAGAAGGGAACAAAAGAAGGCAGGGGTGAAAAAGACCTACAAAAACATATTCAAAACAATGAACAGAAGTGACAATGAGAAAATACATATCAGTAATTACCTTAAATGTAAATGGACTAAGTTCTCCAACCAAAAGACATAGGCCAAATGGATGCAAAAACAAGACCTATATATATATATGCTGCCTACAAGGGACTCACTTCAAATCTAGAGACACATACAAACTTAAAGTGAAGGAATGGGAAAACATATTCCACAAGTGGGAATCAAAAGAAAACCAGAGTAGCAATATTTATATCAGATAAAATTGACTTTAAAATAAAGACTGTTACAAGGGGCAAAGAAGGACACTATATAGTAATTAAAGGATACATCCAAGAAGAAGATATAACAGTTATTAATATATGTGAACCTATCATAGGAGGACCTCAATATAAGGCAAATATTAACAGAAATAAAAGGAGAAATCAACAGTAACACATTAGTAGGGAACTTTAACATCCCACTTACATCAATGGACAGATCATCCAGACAGAAAATCAGTAAGTAAACACAGGCCTTAAATAATACAATAGACCTAATGGACTTAATTGATATTTATAGAGCATTCCATCTGAAAGCAGCAGAATATACTTTGTTTTCCAGTGCACACGGAACATTCTCCAGGATAGATCACATGCTAGGCCATAAAACAAGCCTCAGTACTTTTAAGAAAACTGAAATCATATCAAGCATCTTTTCCAACCACAATGCTATGAGACTAGGAATCAACTACAAGAAAAAAACTGAAAAACAACAACACATGGAGGCTAAACAACATGCTACTAAGCAACCAATGGATCACTGAAGAAATCAAAGAGGAAATCAAAACACATCTAGAGACAAATGAAAATGAATATACAACAATCCAAAATTTATGGGACACAGCAAAAGCAGTTCTAACATGAAAAATTTATAGCAATAAAACTTGTCTCAGGAAACAAAAACTCTCAAATAAACAAACTAACCTCATACCTAAAGAAACTAGAGAAAGAAGAACAAATAAAATACAAAGTTACTAGAAGGAAACAAATCATAAAATCAGAGCAGGAATAAATGAAATAGAGACTTAAAAAACAACAGAAAAGATCAATGAAACTAGGAGCTAGTTCTTTGAAAAGATAAACAAAATTGATAAACCTTTAGCTAGACTCATCAAGAAAAAAAGGGAGAGGGCTCAAATCAATAAAATCAGAAATGAAAGAGGAGAAGTTATAACCGACATCACAGGAATACAAAGGGGCATAAGAGACTACTACAAGAAACTATACACCAACAAAATGGACAACCTAGAAGAAACGGACAAATTGTTAGAAAGGTACAACCTCCCAAGACTGAACCAGAAAGAAACAGAAAATATGAACAGACAAATTACCAGTACTAAAATTGAATCAGTAATTTAAAACTATCAACAATCAAAAGTCCAGGACCAGATGGCTTCACAGGTGAATTCTACCAAACATTTAGAAAAGAGTCAATATCTCTCCTTCTGAAACTACTGAAAGCAACTGCAGAGGAAGGAACACTCTCAAAATCATCCTATGAGCCACCGACACCTGATACGAAAACCAAAGATACCACAAAAAAAGAAAGTTGTGGGCCAATATCACTGATAAACAAACATAGATGCAAAACTCCTTAACAGAATATCAGCAAACTGATTCCAACAATACATTAAGAGAATAAATCCACGGAAGTTGAGAAACGTAGTCTTTTTTTTAATGCCTAGCTAAATTCTGAGGGTTTTTGTCCATTTTTTTAAACTGACAGAATACAGGGAGAACACGTATTGGGAACAACACTGCCATATACTGCTTGTATAAACTATGCACATTCACGCCACTTTTACTTGGCACAAAAATCTTCCCTTTCATAATTACTTTTATGAGAACCAAAGCACGCAGTTATACAGAGTGAACAATTTACATGGTCATGCACGACAATCCTGCTTATGACATTTTAATCATATCTGTAATTTAATTAATGCCGATTCCCTGGTTACAAATGCAGCCTTTATAAAATACTGGCTTAACTGAATAATTTCCAGGAATATAGAGGCAAAAGCAAGAAGTAAGTTTTTAAAGTTTATACTGAATATACAGTAATTTTTAGAAAGTTATAAGTATGCAACAAACAAAATAAAAATTAAAAATTAAGTGGATCATAAAAAGTAAATGATAGATTGCTGCAAGGAGGAGAAGGTAACACATGGTTCAAAGGAAATTGTAAGGTTAAGAAAAGGTGAGAATGTTCTTACAGAAAAGGTATTAGCTACAACTACATTATTGGTTAATAAATCTCTTTTTTAAAATAAATTAAATAAAAGCAATAGCTGCCTTGAAAGAGTAATAAAGCATATACAACTCACTTTTTCATTTATAAAAACAGTATAGTCCATTGGGTTTTGTTCTGTGTCTTGGTTATTTTCAGTAAGAAATGGAAATTCATTTTCATTCTGTAATTTATAAAGAAGGTGCTGAAATTCAACTGCAGATTCCAGAGGCTCAATTCCATAAGAAACATTTTCAAATTGCAAAATTCCTCTGTAGAATTAAGGATAAAATTTAAGTGCTTTTAATCAGGTCTATATTATAAAACTCTGACAGAATTCCAAATAAAGAAGGAGGAAGAGGGAGAAAGAGAAGAGAAGGGGTGGGAAGAGTAGGAGAAGAAAAATATAGAATATTTTTGAGCTCAGTATTTTAACCCAAACTCTTCATGCTTTGGAGGTGACTTTGAAGAGACAAAAAAGTATCTTCCCCAATCCACAAACTGTCTGTTTAATTTTCTTTATAGTTATAAATGCAACAGAATTATGTAATCAGTTGCCAGGTGTGCAAGTATACAGCATTCCTGAGATCAAGTCAGTCCCCTGCCCTTCAAGCCAGTGATTTAATGAAAGCAATACCAAACAGAAATCTGGACAAATTTCTCTCTGGTTGGCACTGATTTTGAAAAATGATTACATTGCTTGTATAACAAAAGGATACGTAATGAGAAATTTTATTCATAAAATAAAATTTAGCAGAAATTATAAAAAGGTCATTTATTACTTTTATGTACATAGTCCAGTAAGAAATTAAAAGCAAGGTTTTAAAGAATAAACAGCTTTTATAACTATTCTTCCATGATATTCTTCCATGAATACAAGTAACAGTTCAAGTGATAGTCCCTAAAAAACCAAATTTCAGAATTCCATGTAAAAAGCACTGAGAAACATTTGTTTGTGAAACAAAGATCCAACACTACAAAATGAAGGTGAAGAATTTCCTGGCAGATGGAAACCTCTCCAAGCACTAAGGAGGAAACCCTATAATTCTACAGAGTTTAAGATAGTGATATTACTAGAAAAAATGTATGTGCTATAATAATATGTATTTATATAGAAGTTGCTTCCTCTCTCTGAAGATGATTTTCCTTGTGACAAGGCATGCTTTGTTTATTTATCTTTACATCTCCAGACACTAGACCAGTAGGTGGTACATGGTAGATATCAAAAATATTCTACTTGTTGAAAAGATAAGCTACCCTAAACTTAGCTCCTCCAACTTGTTGTAGTCAAACACATTTAATTGTCATTTCTGTAGTAAAGAAAAAACAAGATGTGGAGCAAGTTCACCAGGAAATCTAAACCTTCAAGGAAGTCAGACATGTCTCTGGTCAGTGGGGAAAGTGAGGAGAAATAAGAGAAGAAACATGTTCAGACGAAGATACCACTGAAGAATCTCCACATGAGAATCCTCTTCCAGCTCCATATTTGTATAAACTAACAAATTCACTACAGCCAAATATCGTAACTGTGGTGTTTGCACATCAACAACAAAAATACATAACCTCAGTCCAGAGCATGTGCTAAGTGCGACAACAGAATTCAGATATCCTTCAATATATCCTTGGTAGTAGCATTGAGTCTAGGGGGAAAAAAAGTAAAGTGGTTACCTAGGAAATGACAAAACTTTCTAATGATTTCTCTTTATACTTAATAGAACTTTCTAAATATTTTTCACAGGCTGTACAGTTTATAACAGTATGAATAAGGTGACATTCAGAAAAAAGTCTCCCCATATTTGCCACTTTCACTATAGTAAGTACTCCTGTCAGATCAATACTTGGAATTATTATTTTACACCCTGCTTCCAAAATGTTTTCCCA